CTGCAAATAAACGTCCTCCTATTAAAAATACCAGATCCGAAGGCGCTTCACTTATTTCTGTGCGTCTCCACTCACGGGGCGCTATTAGGTTACCTAGAGTCTCTTTTTTTATGCCTCTTTCCCCTTAGGGCTGACATTTTAACATCGAGTCTCCGTTGCCTATTTTGTTACTTTTCCTTTTGTTTATTCCGCCAACCAGGAAGTACACCCCCTTGTTGTGTTAAAGCGTTACAGGCTCTCACGTACCTCAGCGCTACTTTGTTACTTTGGCGGGGCGGGGCGAGCGCGGGGGCGGGGGCTCTCGTGCGCCTGCGCCGTACAGAGTCGGACGCTTCCCCGGAGGCCTCCGTCCGCGTCGCCCGTCAGTGTCCGCCCGGAGGCCTCCGTCCGCGTCGCCCGTCAGTGTCCGCCCGGAAGCCTCCGTCCGCGTCGCCCGTCAGTGTCCGCCCGGAGGCCTCCGTCCGCGTCGCCCGTCAGTGTCCGCCCTGCTCCCAGCAGCGTCCCGCCGGCTCACGAAACAAAACACTGCGCGGTAGACGCTAGCGCGCGTGCGCACACGGGTGACACACGGTGGCGTCGCAGGGACGCGCCGCGGAAGCCCGCCGCGCCAGGACGTCGCCGACTGCGGCCGTCACTCTTCTCCGCTTTGTCTTTGTGTTTGAGTGTGAACTTTATCTTTTCGAGGACTTGGAAAAATTACTTTAAAGGCCTTTTTTTGCTTTAAGTTTTCGGAGAATGATAGTCTGAGTTTGGGGAAGGTGGTCGGCGACGAGAAGAGGGAAGGCGCCACGGACATGCCGTCCGCCAAGGGCCAGTTCCGCGCCTGTTTCGCGCTGAATCGCGCTGAATCGCCCGGGTCTCGACCGCATTAGCGAGGGGTAGATAGGGACGCTGCTCGGGACGCTGCTCGGGACGCTGCTGACCCCGCGGTAGGATTCGCAGGGCTGAGTTTACGAGGCCAACCGGACACTTGGGGACTGTTTCCCACAAGACGAACGAACACTGCAGCTCATTTTCCGGAATCACGTGGGACTCCTCAGGGCTTGCAAAGGGGCGATAACGGAGCGGGTGGGGTTACGGACCCTGGGGAGGGCGTGTGCTTCGTGAGTGCTGTGAAGTGTGTAACCCTGGCGATTCACAGACTGTACCCCTGGGGCTAATAATACATTATATGTTTATTTAAAAATTTTTAAAAATTTAAAAAAAACAAATGGGCAATAACAGGGATTTAAAATTTTAGATCCTAAAATAAAGGACAACTAGAGGACTGGAAAAAGAGGAATAACATAATGGGAACTTTTTTTAAGTTACTAATGTCCCAAGATATCTATTTGTCTCTATATTTTTATATAACATGGAAGTAATTTTATTTATTTATTTAAACATTTTATTTTATTTTTTTCAGTAATCCAAGATTCAGTGTTTATGCGCCACACCCAGTGCTCCATGCCATACGTGCCCTCCATAATGCCCACCACCTGGCTCGCCCTTCCCCCCACCATCCTCCCCTACAAAACCCTCAGTTAGTTTCTCAGAGTCCACAGTCTCTCATGGTTCGCCTCCCCCTCCCGATTTCCCCCAACTCACTTCTCCTCTCCATCTCCCCATGTCTTCTGTGTTATTCCTTATGCTCCACAGTAAGTGAAACCATATGATAATTGACTCTCTCTGCTTGACTTATTTCACTCAGCATAATCTCTTCCAGTCCCGTCCATGTTGCTACAAAAGTTGGGGATTCATCGTTTCTGATGGAGGCATCATACTCCATAGTGTATATGGACCACATCTTCCTTATCCATTCGTCCGTTGAAGGGCATCTTGGCTCTTTCCACAGTTTGGCGACCGTGGCCATTGCTGCTATGGACATTGGGGTACAGATGGCCCTTCTTTTCACTACGTCTATTTCTTTGGGGTAAATACCCAGTAGTGCAATTGCCGGGTCATAGGGTAGCTCAATTTTTAATTTCTTGAGGAATCTCCACACTGTTCTCCAAAGTGGCTGCACCAACTTGCATTCCCACCAACAGTGTAAGAGGGTTCCCCTTTCTCCACATCCCCTCCAACACATGTTGTTTCCTGTCTTGCTAATTTTGGCCATTCTAACTGGTGTAAGGTGGTATCTCAGTGTGGTTTTGATTTGAATCTCCCTGATGGCTAGTGATGATGGACATTTTTTCATGTGTCTGTTGGCCATTTGTATGTCTTCATTGGAGAAGTGTCTGTTCATGTCTCCTGCCCATTTTTTGATGGGCAGATTTTCTGTGATTATCTGGTTTTTTAGTGTAAACTTTAAAGGCTCGCTGCACCTGCTTGAAACCCGGCAAAGGGTCCTGAGCCTGCGCGGGCCTGCAGATGCCACATGTGGCCACCAGGGGGCGGCAGCGCCCCGCCGAGGAGCCGGCCGCAGCCCTGCCATCTCCCTGGGGCCCTAGTCCTGGAAGGTTCCCCTGCCTACACGCCAGGCTCGGGAAAAGGATCCCAAAGTGTCACGTTGAACTCAACCCAGTTAATCTCTCAAGAGGAGGCAGAGGAATGAAAAGTCCTTATTCGAACAGTAACCCTCTTTCCAAATCCAGTGCTCTGAGCCCGTGGACTGAGAGCGCGGATGCCCGGGGGCTCCTCCGTGGGACATGGGAGAGAATCTGCTGTCGTCCTCCACCACGGGCCTCAGCGGAGACCCCACCTCTCCCTGCGCTCTGACTCCCGCCGTGGCTGCGGGAAGCCCGGCCTCTGTCCCTTCCTCCCTCAAGTGAGCTGTCCAGCTGCCCTTGCTCTCCGGCTGGTCCTCTTCTGGCGTCCCTGCCCCTGTCTCGCATAGTAACAGAATTACTGTGTGTTCACTGTTTTTCCAGGGAGGTGGGCACGCAGACATCCAGTCGAGGATTTTCTCCAGCTTTCTTCTACCTGCTAGCAGCCCCATAGCTAAGCAAAGGCCAATAGTTTGAGAAGAAGTGATTTCCACAACTTTCAGATTGTCCCGTGAAACACCAGGCCACCTGCCACCTGCTTTCCCCTTTTCCTTTTTCTGTTGGCTGGGATGGAAATGTGATGGGGGGAGCTAGAGCAGCTCCTTTACACCAAGAGGACAGCCTGGAATTGAGGACGATAGCATCCTCCCAACCCTCTTGGATTGTCTACCTGGAGCCAGAAGAGAGTCTGCACGACTGTGGAGTTTATGCTAATTGTGTATTAGCGTAGTTTGGGAAGGCACCGTAACAAGATATCCCAGAATCCCTGGCTGCAGAGGCCACTCTGACCTCAGAAGCAGGAGCACCCTGCTCGCACACGGGGGCGGAGGGGGGCTGTAGAATAGGGTCCCACGGGCACCACAACCAGCGCCTTCTGCTGCCACAGCTGCCGCCACGCCACGCCACGCCCCCCCACACCTCCGGAGGAGGCGGGTTTGGGGAAACTTCCACGGCACTGCGCGGACCCTGAGGCTGGGACCCAGCAGACCGGCTTCTAAAATCAGGGCACTGAGCCCTCCCCAGAGAAAGTGCTGCCCCAGGGTGTGGGAGGGTGCTGGGGCTCAGTCACCAGCAGGTTCCATAGTGGGCGTGGTCTGTCTTTTCTCACTTTCGTTCCATGGGGATGTGCATCCGAAAATCTGAGAAACTGGGGTGGAAATGGATATTTGGAACACACCTTATATGTTTATATAGGAAAGGAAGGGAACTACCTGGGGAAAAAAGATAAAACTCTCAAGTATTTGAAATTAACTTTAATATGAAAAGTTGCTCTCCCTGCAGAAAACATGGTTATGGGCTGGATTGTGTCCCCCGAACTCACATGCTGGCGTCCTGGCCTTCCGTTCCTCAGCCTGAGACTGTATTTGGAGAGGGACCTTCACCGAGCTGATGACAGTAAAATGAGGTCAGGTGGGTGGGTGACGGGCGTCCTTATAAGATAAGCAGGTCAGGACACACACACACAGAGGAGCAGAGAGGGAAAACCCAGTGAGCACACAGGGAGACCGAGGCTGTCTGCATGCCCAGAGAGAGGCCACACCTGCCCACACCTGCCCACACCTGTCCACACCTGCCCACACCTGTCCATATCTGCTCACACCTGCCCACACCTGCCCACACCTGCCCACACCTGTCCATATCTGCTCACACCTGCCCACACCTGCCCACACCTGCCCACACCTGCCCACACCTGGACCGCAGATTTCCAGGCTCCAGGACGCAAGACAGTGAGCGTCTATGGTGCCAGCCCTGGGTCTGGGATACCTCATCAGGGTGCCTTCCCAAACTAGGACACTAATATACGATTAGCATCTACTCTGTAGTCATTTAGACCAGATTGTCTGTGCCTACACCCCAAGAATTCCTGGACTTCGCACATGATGTCAGAAATCTTAAAGGGATTTGAAAATATTATACTTTTCTGGCCTCATTTTAAAACTAGCCTATCTGTTCAGAAGCAGCTAAGAACGCAGTGTGCAAGGGGACAGTTAAACGCCTGCCATCTGGGTGTATCATTTGCAGGTGACACAATGCCCAAATTTTCACCTTTTTCGAGAAGTACGAAGTATAGGAAAATCTCAGTTATCTAAAAATAATTGATCAACTACTTTGTACGAGGAACCAAGAGAAAACGTCTTCTGGTCAGCACAAGCCGCTGTGATCATATTTGGACACACACGTGAGTGTGTGACAAAGATAGGCCCGTGTATACAGTTAATTTATTAACAACAGACTAACAAGTCCTGAGTCACCGCCCCTGGGAAGATAGGTCTGACCAAAGAACATAGTGGAATGGGGTTTGCAAAGGGCAGAGCACAGGTCACCAGCAGGCACACGCAAGGTCCAGTCAGAGCCGGACGCTGGGAGGAGATCTGGGGAAACCAATGAAAAAAAGATACCAGAACCGTTAAAGAACCATCTGGAGCCCCTTAATAACGGACCAAAACCCACACGGTTCTGTGTCTCCTGAGGGCATTGACACGTCATCACACCAAACAGCAAGAAACAATGATGATATTGGACAAAATAAAGTCTGTATCCTACTTTAGAAACACTTTTATTCAGTACAGCTGAAATTAAATGGACTGTTGCATAAAGAAGCTTCACTTATCTGAAAATTCAAATTATACAGAAGAGCTGATTTCTAGCTGTGTCACAGCAAGCGAGCTATTTCCTGCTTAGAGACACAAACTTCTCTCCCTACATCCTCTGAGCGCATCCGGGACCCGCAAGGGGCATGCAAGTAGGCCACCAGGCTCTGAGCACTGGAGCCCACGCTTACAGCCTGGGAGGACGGCCGACCTCGGAACGCCTCAGCTCCCGGGTCAGATCCCTGATTCTGGAAAACCGCTCCTACTTCATGCACCAAAGACCTTCATTTTGCAAAGCCAAAACGATGTTTGAGACATACAGACTCAGAACCCTAAGATGGCATTTTGAATTTCATACAGAGATGCAGGTCAAGCTCATGAGAACGACAGAAAGTTTCAGATTTCTCAGTCAGCTTCTTTGTAACTCACGTCTTTGTAACTCACGTACCTTCTAACACATGCTTGCATTTTTGTAATGTGGGTTTTTTTTTTCTACTTGTGTTCATATGTTTACAAAGCACTCTCAAAGCTTGAGTTCTAGGAACTTTCTAGAAGTTGAAGACAGTTGTTAAAATCGGATTCCATGATCAACCTCAGACTTTGGGTAAAAACCAAAGCCAGCAGCAGAGAGGGAAGGAGCCCAGCTCCCTGTGGCCCCTGATGCCCTTGGCTCCAGGGGCTGCTTCCGCTTCCGTGGACGTGGGACCAAAGCCCTTTCTGTATTGTCTCGGGGAAGCTTCCTTGTGCTTTTTAAAAGAAGGTAATTTAAACACCTTACATTCTAAACTGCACTGTGACCCCCAATTTCACTGTGATTTGTCTGACAATAGTCACGAAGCCCTCTGTGTTCTGAGTGTTTGCCATTCGGTTGCGGCTCGTGGAGCTCTGCCTACCCGACTTTCGGAGAATCGGCGACTGCAAGGAACACTTCCCCGGGGAAATAAAGCAAGCCAGCCCTTTCCCAACGGCCTGTTACCACCTCGTCTTCCTTATCCTCGGTGACAATGGACACCCGTGCTCATCTAGCCACCGTCCATCTCCCCACGCCACTTGGCCGGCTTGGGTGGAATGTTTCACCTTCTGCCTAAGATGAGGGGTGCAAGGGCTCTTACGTGATATTTTTCTATCTTGGGTTTCCCAACCCTGTGCATTTTGCTGTGATCAGGAGAGGTCGTGCTCACAAGATGCTTCACGAATATTCCTGAAAATGTCTGATTCGTAGTCCCGGGGGTCCATTTTGGGGAAGGCCAACCGCAGGGGACCCCCGGGGGCCCCAAGTGCATGTCCGCAGTCCCCCAGACCGCGGGCCTGCTCCAGGCCGCTCACATGGTGAAGGACGAGGCGTTCTCGTTGTCCACGGTCTCGCTGTTCTGCCTGGAGACGAAGCTTTCCGAGTGCAGCCTGGAGCAGGAGAAGCCCGGAGACTTCCGCCGCCTCCGCACGCACCACAGGTCCTTCACGATCTTCAGAAAGTAGCTCCTAAACTTCTGTCCGATGAAGGCATAGAGCACGGGGTTGAGACAGCAGTGCAGGAAGGCCAGGACCTCGGTGATGTTGGTGGCGTAGCCCAGCAGCTTCTGGCCATGGCAGGAGCGGTTCATCCTGCCCAGCTGCGCGGCCGTCACCAGGAGCACCATGTTGTGGGGGATCTGACAAGCCAGGAACACCAGCACCACCGCGATGATCACGCGGATGGCCTTGTGCCGCTTGGAGTTCTGGGCCTGCACCAGGGTCCTGACGATGAGCGCGTAGCAGAAGGTCATGAACAGCAGCGGGATGGAGAAGCCGAAGAGGAGCTGCAGGCCCAGCACCAGCAGCTTCCACTTGATGGGGTCGGAGCCCTCGTGGTAGCGGGGCTCGCACACGGTGCTGTCCTGCACGTGGTACTTCTGGTTGAACACGAAGGTCCAGACAGAGATGAGCACCGACGCTGCCCACACCAGCAAGCAGATGGCCCGGCGGTGCGCCAGCGTGCGGGACCGCAGCCGGAAGGACTTGGTGGCCTGCACAATGGCGACGTAGCGGTCCATGCTGACACAGGCCAGGAGCAGCATCCCGCAGTTGAAGTTGACGGCGTAGATGCCTTTCATCAGCTTGCACGTGGCGTTGCTGAACACCCACTCGCCAGTGGCGTGGCTCACCGCCCAGAACGGGAGGGTGAGGACGAACAGGATGTCCGCGATGGCCATATTCAAGAGGTACACGTCCGTCATGGACTTGGCTTTCTTGTAAAAAGCAAAGGTGACCACCACCAAGACATTGCCCAGGAGGCCAAAGACACAGATCAGGGAGTAGGCCACGGGCACGAAGAGCCCGGAGAAGCTCCGCACATCCTGCAGGGAGCACACGAAGCTGTCGCCGTCAGCTGAGTAATCCGAACTGTTACCCGACCCAAAGTAGTCCTCGCTGAAGTTGAAGCCGGCGCTGAAATTCATCACCTCCTGGAAGGTGAACGAAGGTAGAGTTAGCTGTCGTGTGACCTGTGGAGAGCCACGACGGACCGACATGACACTCCCGGCCAAAATAAAACAGACACTCACCCCACTCATTGCGGTGCTTGTTCTCGGCAGGAGGGGCGGGCGTGGACGGAAGGGGATGGACGGTCAGGCCCTCTGGCTCACCAGCGGAGATAATGGGGGGACGTGAGTCTAAGGAGGAAAGAAAGCAAGACACTCTGTGAGTGAGACAGGCATCCCCAGGAAGCCCAACAGTTACGGGCTAGCATTCTGTTTCCCTTGGACACAAAGAGTACATGACATGCTATTTTGCAGGAAAATAGTCCTTTAGAACGAGGGTGGGCAGCCTCTTTCTGCAAAGGACCAGACAGTAAAATATTTTAGACTCTGCAGATCCTGTAGTTTCTGCCCCAACAACTAGAATCTGCCCTGGTGGCTTCAGAGTGACACGGACAACTTCACACGTGAACGGGCTTGGCCTGACTTGGCTGTCACGGCTACAGCTTGTCAAACCCTGATCAATGGCATAAGGAAGGGAGATGCCAGCAAAAGCACAGATTCCGATCCGCACAGAAATCTTGGTGCAAAATGCAATTCAATGACGCTTAGCAGGATTCCGGTGAACAAAATCTGCGGGACTGTGGATTGCGTCTAGAATACGTACGATTCACAGCCCTTGCCTGTAAATAGTGTAGAGTGGGATTCCGTGGCTTCCACCCAGCTGGGCATGTGAGAATCCCTTGTAGAGTTTTTTCAAGTCTGAATGTGAGAGTCATTCTCAAGATACACGGAATAGGACCCCCTGGCTTGAAGGGCAGCAGCAACGTACATATATATCTCTTACGTGACACAAGCATTGCCCTCGTGCCCTCGAGCTAACCAGCACCAGTCTGCGGGGAAGACCCATCATCATTGTCGGAAACCAGGCCGCGGGCAGAAAGGTTAGAGATGGTCAGTGGGCAGGCCCCCTCGGTCCTTGGAGAATGCGCGTGGGGCCGGCAAAGGGATGGCAGAGAAGGTGAGCAGGTGGAAAGGAAACGTGAGTGCTGAGTGTTTGCCCCTCCACGGTGGGGCCGATCCCACTGGTTCGAGGTGACATTCACCAACTGAGCCGCGCACAGCACTGATGTGCGGGGAATGCCCAGAGGGACGACGCACAAGAAGTCCCCGAGATGAGTCAGGACCGAGAGGCGGCCCCGGAAGGAAGGACTCGGACAACGAGGAGGAGGAGGAGCGCGGAATGACAAGCCTCGGTGCACAGGTGGAGACTGGATCATGCTGCACCACTCGGTCCTCACCTGTGTGGTCAGTGTCACCACCTGACATCTGGGGGAGGAAGTCAGTATGACCCAGACCTCAGCCTGAGGACTCTCCGAACACACTTCTCGTATCACTTGATTCTCGCTGTGTTGTTGACGCGACCACAGGTCAGGGGCCCTAACCCAGTTTCCTCCCTGACGTCTGGAGCCATCACTTGGGAAGCAAGTACTTGCTGCCTCTCAGCCGTTGCCCTGGATGTGACACTAGGGGCGGGGCCGGGGGGTGGTCATCTGTGCACATCTGCAGTGACCTACAGCTGTGCCTTCTCACTGAGGGTTTCAGGGCATGCAGAAAAACCACAGCATAAAGGCTTGGCGTGGCAAAGCCTGTAGCAGACGAACACGTCCATCTGAGTATCGATGGGACATGTCAATCAAACGGGACTGTGAGATTTATTCTGCTAGCCATGATGGAGTCATGGAAAACAAATGTCCCCTATTGCATGAAACAAACAGAAACACCTGGAAAATACATGAGATAACAGTTTTCAGGCTGTTGGGCAACTGATGTCCCAAGACTGTGGTCTCTGACCAGAAGAGAACAGGAGAAGTGAGTGTGACCTGAGCTCTGGGAAGCTCCCAGCTCCCATGAAAGCAGTTTCCAAGTGCAGAGCATGGGGACAAGTTGAACAGGGAATGGGGACCTCGCTGAGGACACAGGGATCAGAGTTCTGGGAGGTCAGGGCAATATGAGGTGCGGGAGAGGAGGGAGCCACACACAGAGAAAGGGGAGCTGCAGAGAGGTGTCCCTGAGAGGAAGCAGTGCAAGAAGAGTGTGAGAAATGAGAGACCAAGAAATCCTCAGAGCCCTCGTGGGCTAGAAAGAATTCTTTCCAACAGAAGGCGTAACAGCACATTCTAAGTCCCAGGGGATTGGAGAGCAGCCTCAGAACAGCACTACTGGGGCACCTGGGTGGCTCAGTGGGTTAAGCCACTGCCTTCGGCTCAGGTCATGATCTCAGGGTCCTGGGATCGAGTCCCACATCGGGCTCTCTGCTCAGCAGGGAGTCTGCTTCCCTTTCTCTCTCTCTGCCTGCCTCTCTGCCTACTTGTGATCTCTCTCTGTCAAATAAATAAATTTTAAAAATCTTAAAAAAAGTTAAAAAAAGGAACAGCACTACTGGAGGAGTGACACTCCTAAAATCACCTACAGTGACTGTTACTCTGAACCTGCCACAGCAAAGCTTGAAAGAAAGTCTCAGATGACCCATCTGATTCCAGTAACATCACTACATCCCAGAGCAAAGCCCCAAATCATTTAAAGACATGCCATGAAATGCAGCCTTCAGTCATGTAAAATTCATGTCAGGCATCCAAACAAAAATTTCTAGATCACTGGAGTCTGAATGTGCATGCGTCCCCGAAATTCATATGCTGAAGCCTAATTCCCAAGGTGGGGGCATTTCGAGGTGGTGGCCCCCCCCCGCTGCCACTCATGAATGGGATTTGTGTTCTTTTAAGAAGAGACAGCTTGCTTCCTCTGTCTGCTCCCCTCCTCCTGAAGACTGAACTGGGGGGTCCTCACCAGATACTGGGTCTGAGTCACCTGGATCTTGGACTTCCCAGCTTCCAGAACCATGAGAAATAAAGGCATCCTGTTCAAGCTACCCTATCTGTGGAAATCTGCTACAGCCTCTCACACTGACCATGACACAGACATTTGAAGAAACAGGGAAATATGACCCATAATTGACACGAAGAAACAAGAATGACTGAGATAACAGAAAAAGTTGGTAATGACTATCCATTGATCTAGATGCCCTGGAGGGTAGAGGTAAGCACCCTACAATGAAAAAAGTGACAAAAAATATTTAAAAAAAAACAAATAAATGTTCTATAGATGAAAGACAGAACACGTAACATGGAAAAAAAAGCACTGATGAGGATTAACAGATGCAAATCAATTGTCTCCAATGCCCTAGCAATACTTGGAACGTTTGGCAATTGGGACGGAAAAAAATTATAATCGCATCAAAACCATGAAGAAAATACTGACGAGGACATCTTAAATTGTTACAAGATCTCCATGCTGAAGGCTATAAAACATTGCTGAGAGAAATTAAGATCTAGGTTACAGGAGAAGTGCATCAGGTTCAGGATTAAATAATCCAATAGTGAGATGTTGGTTCTCTCCAAACTGATCCACAGACACCACGTGATCCAAATCAAAATGGTGTCAGGGTTTCTGGAAAAAACTGACTGGCAGATCCTGCAATGTATATATAAATCCAAGGGACTGAGAAGGGCCAAAACCATCTTGAAAAAGAATACAGAATTCTAAGATTCCTACTACCTGGTTTCAAGACACACTATGAAGCCACAGGAATCATGGCAACATGGTGCTGGAAACAGGATAGATGCGGAAATCAACAGACAGAACAGAGTCCAGAAATAGACCCACACGTCCATGGCCAACGGAATCTTAACAAAGGTGCCAAGGTAATTCCAGAGGGAAAAACAGTCTTTTCAATAAATGGTGCAGGGCCAATAAGGTGTTCATGCATAAGAAGTCGATCTTTTCTTTTCCTCATGCTACAAACAACAACAAAAAACTCTAAATAAATTATAGTTCTAAATGTGAGCGCCAATCATAAAACATCCAAGGAAAACAGAAGAGAAAATCTTTGTGCCCTTGGAAATGATAGATGTCTCATCTAAGCTGCAAAACGCATGAGTTATAAAAAAAAATGAAATAGAAAATTGATAAATGGAAATTGATCAGAATTTAAGGGGCGCCTGGGTAGCTCAGTCAGTTAAGTGTCTGCCTTTGGCTCAGGTCATGATCCTAGGGTCCTGGGATTGAGCCCCATGTCAGGCTCCCTCCTTGGCAGGAATCCTGTTTCTCCCTCTTCCTCTGCCTCTCCCCCTGCTTGTGTGCATGCAAACACACTCTCCGTCAAATAAATAAATAAAATCTTTTCAAAAATTTTTGTAATTGATCAGAATTTAAAATTTCTGTTTTTTGAAAGACAGTTGAGAAAAGTAAAAATAGATCATGGAATGGGAAAAAAATTTTGTGAACTTGTAATCTGATCATGGATCATATCCAGAATATACAAAGAACTCTTACAACTAAACGTCAAGAGGGGACAGGCAACAAATGCGAAGTGAGTTCACCAATGGAAATACATGGGTGGCGATTCCGTATGAGAAAACTTGTTCAATGTGATTAGTCATTAGGGAAAGGCAAATTAAAAGTGCAATGAGATACCTTTTCTCACCCACTCGATGGCTGAAAGTCAGGGGCAGACAAGACAGGAGGCAAGGATGGAGACATGGGAGATGGCCAAGCAGTCAGATGGCCACACTGAGAAGACCACAGGGTGATGTCCTATAACGCTAAACATGCACTTACCATATAAGCCAACAGCTGGCTCTTACGTTTTTAGCCAAGAGAAATGAAAATGAAAGACTAATACTTGAACGTTCACAGCAGGTTTCTCTATGACAGCCCTGGATTAGAAAAACAGAGGCTTCCATCAGCAGGTGGACAGATAAGCAAATTGTACCATCTCCGTATCACAGATCACTGGCCCCCAAGCAAGAAGCAGAGTCCTGATGTACGCGTCAGTCGGGGGGCAGCGATCACAGAGGCATTTGGCTGGGTGAGGAATCCAGACATACAAGACCAGGCACGGTGTTATACCATTTACGTGAAATCCTAGAAAAGGCAAAGCAAGAGTGGTGAAGGTCAGGTCCATGAGTGTCACGCCTCAGAGATGAGAAGAGACCGGCTGAAGGGGGCACAGGGACCTTTCTGTGGTGACAGAAGTGTCCCCTGTCAGGATCGTGATCTTGCTGGGCATTTGTCAAGACCCACTGAATCAGATACTTCAGGCTGGTGATATTCATTGTACATAAATTAAAACCCAAGAGAGCAAATCCAGTAACTGCACAAGGGGGAACATGGCAGCGGGCCACAGAGCTGCTGGAGGGAGTGCTCCGTGGGAGCCGTGGCCGGGTGCGTGATCACAGAGGGGACAGACGGCATGCCAAGCCGAGGGGGGCCATAAGGGCGTCCCATGAGGTGGGCGGGGGTGGGGGGGGACATGACGACGTTCGGACCATGCGGAGGCTGGTGGCCATGAGGGCTGGCAACAGAGCAGCTGTGAAAGGGGGCATCCTCGTGCGCTCCAGACTCGGTGCCCAGCGGGAACCCCAGCGGGAACCCCGCTTCAGAAAAATGGCTCTTTCAACCACACTCTGACCTATAATGAGTTCTGATTTCATGTTTAATTCCGCTCAACAAACGTTTATGGGCTGTCTGCAGAGGATGACACGGGGCACAAAGATGAGTCACATGTGAGCCGCAGCCCCGAGCCTCTGGCAAACCGACCGTTGTAAAACCGTGCAGGCCAGTGGCCACCCCGGGAGGCCCAGGGTCCGAGCGGCCGGCTCGTGGCCGGTGTCCGCCCCGGTGCAGGGGGAGCGAGGTGCTCAGGCCGGGCTGGGGGGCACGGGGACTTGTTTGCCTGCTCCGTGTGAACAGTCTACAAGTCTGGACAGCGGCGAATTCGATGCTGTTGTGGTTAAGAATCAGCGTTCTTGAGAGAAAACACCGTCGTCAAGTTTAGGGGGATGCCAGTCACTCGTGTGACTGGAAATGATTCAGCGTGCCCCCAACCACCACCGTCACCGCAGATTCATGCAAAATGTGCTGAGGAAACCGTGCTGGTGACGTACTGGCATCCGGGCCACCACAAGCCCTAAGGAAGCCCATACGTGTTTTGTGCAAGTAAATCACCTTGGGTCCTGGGCAGCAAATGTCACCTTTTTAGAGAAACACGTTCTGAACTTCTTTGTTACAAACACTGAGATGGTAAAGTCATGAAGACATTTTTGAACTTCTCCACTGAACAGAGGGGGATATACTGTCCTATCTACCGGGGTTGGTGGCCGCCGCCGGGGACACGTCCGTTCTCGCTGAGCCAACAAACCCACAGTCGAGAAGCTTCCGGACATGGAAGGCCTTGCCCCACCTTGTGTTTGAAGCTTGTCTCCCCCTCGTTCTCGCCCTCTCTAGCATGTCCTCGCTGTCACCAGCGCTCCTGCCAGCTCTTACTTCGAAGGCAGCAGATCACACAGAAGTGCTCCAGGGCTCAACCTATTTTAAAACGTAACTTGTCCATCATTGAAATTCGGGTATTTCCTAAGTCACCGTCTCTCCCACAGCCGGGAATACGAACACTCGTCCAGAACCAGTCGCTGTGAAGAGAATCTGTGGGACAAACCGTTCGGAATTGTCCCCGGCAGGAAGTCAAGTCTTCTGGGAGGAAACCGTGACGCCGCACTTAGAAACGCTGCTCTGTCCCGCCTGGCTCTGCGGTGACGAGCCTTCCCGCCCGGAGCCCCGCCGCCACCTCAGGGACCCAGGGCCACCGCCTGCCTGAGCCTTGGCCCCTCACAGGCTCTCGCCCCCTCGGGCCCCTGGGGTCTCCCGTGCAGCGCACCATGGCGTGGCACCGAGGGTGATGCGGGCAGTGGGAGGCCCAGGTCCAAGACTGAAGCCCGCGGAGTCCAGGAGATCGGAAGGCGGAGGAGCTCCCAGAACTCGCCGCGGGGGGAGAGGGTCCGTGCCCTGGGCCGGTGCCGCAGGAGGCTGGCAGGGGTGAGGAAGGGCGTGGGGGGCCGGGGCGGGAGCGCTGAGTGCTCAGCGGAAGCCTGCAGGGCAGGGAGGCCGGGGGCACACTGCGAGTCCACGGTTACACCCGCCATCTGCCAGTCCTCGTGCCGTGCCGTGTGATGTAGGGAACGACAGCCAGTCGGGTGACCGCCCAGCAGAAGACCCTCCCTGGCACCAGGCTGGCGCTACCCGCCGTTTTCATGACTGTGAGCGACAGAAGCAGAGGAGGCAACTCAGCAGGTCTGAAGAGGACGCGACGCCCGAGACGAGAATTATTAAACTGGACGACAGAATCCGTGTGGAAGAACTCGGACAGAATCAAGCAACCGGTCACATGTCAAAGGGTGAAATTCCGTGGGGAGAGTCAGAGGTTCTGCGCTTGGGTTTCAATGGTCAGTTACGCAGGTAGAAAATGAAAGTTTGGCAGCTGGAGCCACGGGAAGAGTCTCACTGGCTCGTCACTCCACCGAGAGACGGCGGGGTCTTCGCGGCATGAGCTACACGCCACTACGGAAGGTCCCGTCATCCACGTCATACTGCCCCTCGATCGCGTGCTGCTCGCACACTCACCGACAGACACGTGCTGCTCGCACACTCACAGACGTGCTGCTTGCAAACTCACCGACAGACACAGGCTGCTCGCACACGCTCACCAATAGACACTCTGCCCCGAGAGACAGGGTCAGTGCGTGCAGTTAGCAGAAGCAGGGCCCCAGAGATCCCCACGCCTCGCCCCCAGAACCTGGGGAAACACGCCTTCCCATGCCAAACGGGACTGCGCATTTGAACCCTGCGATGGGGAGACAACCCTGGACTGCTCAAGTGGGTCCTGTGTCGCTTCGAGTCCTTAACAGCGGGGATCTTTCCCAGCCGCGATGGGAGAGGGAAGAGAAGGGATGGAAGGATGGAAGGGCTCGTCCATCGCTGTTTTGAAGACCAAGCAGGGGGTAGGTTCTGGGAGCTGGGACCGCCCCCCACGGCCCCCGACACCCGACATGAGGAACGCGGCTCAGTCCCACAAGCACAAGGAGCTGAATTCCAGCCGCAATTCTACCGAGCGCGGAGACAGGTCCTGCTTTAGAGACTCTGGAGGGAACGCCGCCCTGCCAACAGCTCCCCCAGCCTGGTCAGACCCGGCCCGGACGCGTGTCCCACAGAGCTGTAAGGTACTTGTTCTGCGTGGTTGGAGTGACTTTGTGATGACAGCAGTAGAAAACTAAAACTCTGCTCCCTAAACGCATCCTGCTAAGATTAATTTGTTTGCTTTTTAGGTCAAATCAGTGAAACTCTGAGGTTTAGGGTAAGGTAGGTGAGAGTTCCACCCACCCTGCTCCGGTCAGACTTACGCGGTGATTTTGATTGCGTGATGGGCAATGTGAGCGACGGGAATCAGGTGAGGCCCAGCGGCCAGGCGGGAAGAAGCGACCGCCCACTGCGCATGTCAGCGCCGGTCACATGGCCTGAAGACAACGACGGCTCAGGCAGAATGAAGTCATCAAGTAACCTGCAGGGTTGTCACATGAAAGAGGGTCTCGCCTTGCACTCCCACGAGCGGAGGTTACACAGACAGACCGTGGCCTAACATCAGAAGAACAGCTGGGCCGTTGAGTGAGGCCGGCCCGGGCTCCCTCGGGAGATGTATCTCTGTCAAGCACGGTGAGTCTTCCCTGAAAATGAGGTGGCGAGGGCTGCACCGGACCCACTAAGTCAGCATTTCTGGCAGTAGAACTCTGGAAAGGAAGGCTTACAGCAGGCTGCTCCTCCGCCTTCTAGCTGGGGCTCCAGGGACCGTGAACCCGGACCAGCCCTCCTTGGAAATACACTAATGGCATTGCCAAAGACAGAAACCTGGGGGTCCCCATTGAAACATCTAGATGAGCTTTTGAGCAGACTATACCTGGTACCCACATTTCTGACTACACATGAATGGGATTTGACAGACTAGGAGCTCTGTCCACGGAGGACGGGAAGCAGACACCCAGGGAAGTCTTCTCTTTGCAGGATGGGTGGGTATCAACTGGGGACCTTTGTGACATGTTTTCACACACACTTTCCACAACACCTCATGTTAACTGCTTACTGAAGCCCGTTTTTGGTGAGCCGTGGCGAACGGTTTGGGCTCCTCTGGGAATGTGCCTGGTGCTCCCCTGTGTCTTCTGCATCGTTAGAAAAATGGGACGTTGGCAAGAGCCATGGGTCCTGTGGATGTCTGCTTTGACCACTCAGCTCTTGGGGTCCACACAGTCCACATTACTCTCACCCATATTCATCTGTGGTCAAGGGACCAGAGAGCGCTGGACTAGACCAGTCTCTGAACGTGGTTCCCAGGAAGGCTCTGGGCGGAAAGAAGGGGGAAGTGGGAGGAAGATGGCTCTGTGGTTGCTAAGTTTGGGAAATGCCGCTAACTGCCCCCCCTTGGACACAGACACAGCAGCTTCCTAGCGGTTTCCTCGCTCCTTCAGCACCCGCTTGCAAGAGCAGTAACAACCGCCCAGACCCCCCCCCCCCAGATTAGAGCCTGGAACTGACTCCTGAGTCGCTCCCTTCTCATGGGTGTGCTCAGAAATGAACTTTCATTAAAAGATACACCTTTGTGGGGCTCCCTTTCCTGTTTTAGAGGCTCATGATGACAAATTAAATCTCATGAGACCTTTGCAAAGTGTTATGTTACTTTAAGAAAAATTCAGTGTTACTTAATGAGAGTCACATTTTTAAAAAATAGTGTTGAAAATGGTAACGTATATTTTATTGCAGTAAGAGAGTGACTTCCTGTAGGATTTTTGTTAGATACCACATGCAAAAGAGTCCCAGAGACTAACGGGTAATTGACTGAGTCGTTCACAAATGAAATGAATGGGGTGCTGGAGGGGCTCAGTCCCTTGGGCGTGCAACTCTTGGTTTTAGCTCAGGTCATGATCTCAGGGTCATGGGGTCCAGGCCCTTGTCGGGGCTCCGCACTCAGCCCGGAGCCTGCCTGAGAGTCTCTCTCTATCTCTCTCAAATAAGTCTTTAAAAAACCAGAAATCTGATACTATGTGTCCTAAAACCCAGATCAGCCCTGGAAGCCAAGGAAAGGGTGGCAGCCCACGCGCCACCGTGGAGAAGGCAGGCAGCGGTCCACGTACCCCCAATGCAAGCGCACCCCCCCCAACCTGCGCAGAGGAATCCCACCGCACCTCTGTTCTTTGAACTGAGGGCCTTGGGAGTTCCTTAGTCACCTGACCAGGGGCAGGTGGGACACATTTCAGGTTCTTAGCAGCAAGCATCATCGCTGGGACCAGCTAACTGACACACGCTCAGGCCAGTCATGCTCTGTGGGGACCAGGAGTGGGTGGCGGCAGGCAGAGGGCCCGCAAACAGGAAGTAGGAGCCCCTAGAGAAGAGACAAGGTCTGGAAAAGCAGAAGGGGCGCCAGCACACCGACTTCCACTCCCGGTCCTCCGGCCAAGGTTAGAGTCTGCCCAGGAAAACTAAATCTGGGGAAAACATTAATAAGACATCAAAATATTATCAGCAAGGAAAACTGCTAAAATTTTCACTGAACAAGTTGAACAGTTAAAAATTGAATGGAAGCAGATTTTAAATCTGTGTTTACTTGCACAAATAGCGATGGCCCACAGGATACAGAACAAGAACTGAACAGAAGCGTGCGTGTGTGCGCGCACACCTGTGTGCACAAGTGTATGAGTGTAAATAGGTTGTGTGTGCATGTGTATGTGTGCTGTGCGCGTGTGTATGTTTGCGTGTGCACGTGTTGTGTGTGCAAGTGTGTATATGCATGTGCATGTGTGAGAGCACCGTGGGGGTGTGCTACAACGGGGGGCATAGTCGCGATTGCACACTGGACACCAGGGATCACTGCTCTACATCTCTTATCTCTTTTAACAAAACCCTTGAAGTAGACACTGTACCCATTTTTCAGATGGAAGACAGGAGGGCTGTTCGCTCTAAGCATTCTAACCCACTTTGTCTTCACGGGGTCTTCCTGAAGGACTGTAAACACTCAGGGGAGCTCAGATAATATGTATATTTTAAAACCTTTTAATTGATATCAGAATCTCCTGTCCTGCAACTGGAGCTACTCAATAAATGTACGTTTTCTCAGCTCACCTGAATCGTGGGCACATAGATAAGCGACAGCCAAGCTGGAAGTCTAGGCTGGCTCCTTCTGCTTTCAAACAAAACCAGTTAAGACAGAAGCCAGGAGGTTTTTTCTAGTGATTTGTCTATAGGTTTGTAATTTTTTTTTCTTTTGGTTTTTCTGCTTCTTCGGAAGCTCATTTTATATTTTCTTTTTTGTTTGCAGAAATCGTACTTTCCTCATTGTAAGAAAAGCTCCAACGCAGACCTTGCATTTATCTCTTCCCAGTGCTGATCTCCACAATCTCTGTTTCTGTTTCTGCTACAGGGCAGTCTTTGGGAGGGATCTGGAGCAGACCTTCTCCAAGACCATCACGCACTCTTCTGTGGTCATGAGACACTCACTTCCTAATCATTATGGCATTTGCAGCCATTATCAGAGTTTTTCTGAGATTCTCCTGAATCTCATAAGATTCGGGATATGATATGATATGAGATTCTCCTGAATCTCATAAAAATAAAAATTTCCACCCCATCAACTTCTCTTAAACACCTTACAAGCCTCTTCCGACTCAATCCCCAGCTGTCCAGAATGCACACCCACTACCTTCTATCGCACAGATCACATTGGGCATTGGTTTCAAAACATCTCTTAGCTTAGTTTTTCGCTCTCCAAACTTTTTATGTTAAGTAAATGACTGCATCTCCCTCAAGACCACTGCCCTGCGGGTATTGAACTGTCTGAAGAAGCAATGCCCAGACCGTGCCCCACGCTCTAGAGCAAGGCAATTGGGATAAATCACTCACTGTGCACTTGGAGGCAAAAAGGAGATTTTTAAAAACACAGTCCTGTTCCTAAAGCCAGAAAGACAACGTCTGCAAAACCAAGGCTGTTTATCAAGTGCAACACACTCACCAGGCCACTGTCCTGGGATTCTTGATGCTGCCCAGGCGAGGTTGTCTAAGGAAGGAAGATGCTTTTGAAAGAAGCAAGGGCTTGGCCGCGCTCACCTTAGAAATGCCGTGGCCCGACGGGCACTGTCCCGTTACACCCGCCCGGCGATGCTTCACGTCCCCGCTGTGATTCTCTCGACAAGACGCGATTTCTAATAGCCATTAAGAAAAAAAGAGTGGGAGACCAGAACCGGCCAAAAGCAAATTTGCTGAACTACCACTTCCTACTTAAAAGTAACGCCTATTGGCCCACATGAAGAAGGTTAACCCTGTGTGCGCTGCGGGGCACCAGCTGATCATGTGACTCCCTGGAAGGCGAGTCCCACCCGAAGGGGAGCCCAGGAGGCGGGACTCCTGGGTGGCTGCGCTCCTTGTGGTGACTTCGAGCTGCGTTTCCAGTCATGGCCACAGTTTGTGCTCAAACCTTCTCCCTGCCACCCCCAGCCCCGGGGCCTGACCGTCTCCCATGATGACACTTTGGACACTTTGCAGGCGCCTGGGAAGGCGCAGATGAGTCTGGGAACGGGTACATGTGGCTGTGGTTAGGGCAGCTCCTGCAGCCCCTGCGCCTGGATTTCCCCCAAAATCTGTGCGCCCACAGATCAGTTCCTGACCCTGCGGGGCTGCCCCAGTTCCTTCCTCCGTCAGATAACAGCCGAGTGCCTCTTGCCTCGGCGTGTCCTGGGAACATGGGGTCGGCCCCTGTGGAGCTGGGAGGACGGCGCTCATCCCATGTGAGCTGTTGCTGTGTGACTGGGGCACAAAGACAAGTCCCAAGAAGCGGGGCACGTGACCTTTCTGAGATGGCAGGTGACAGAGCCGAGTACACTGTCGTTAGAGGTAGCAACTCAGGATTTGCTTGGGGAACTCATTTTTAGGAGTGAGTGATTTAAAAAAACAGCAAAAAAAAAAAAAGCGAACAAGGAGAAAGAGCTCTGGAAATCAGAAAGGTGTTGCTCAGCACAGAGCGCTGCTGTGACTCGAGTCTCAGGAAACACCAAAGGTTTTGTAGCAAAGGGCCCCAGAGAGCAATGCGAGCCAGAACCGGACCAGCTGGGGCTGCCAGGCCTGCGGAGCAAGCGTCTCTGCCTCCTCCCCCAGCTCACCAGGACTCCCCCTGCTCCGCTCGGGACTCACCCTGCGTGTCCTGCACAGACGCTAGTCAGCCTTCACGCCTGCCTGTCGTGCCCTGAACCTCGCCTGTCCCAGCGCCCGGGTGAGCATGAAATGTGGAGCCTGGTCCCTTGTCAGCTTCTCTCGGAAACTGGCTGACCACGACAGCTGCTTTTCCTGGCAGAACCAACTGTCCCTTTTGTCCAGTTGTCCCCTGTGCCCCCCCAAAACAGTCTGCTTGTCCTCTTTCTTCCCCTTTCTCCGTAGAAGAAAAGCCTTTTCCTCTTTGATTCTGAGCCATTCACAGGTCTTATGGCCACGGGGACCCCCACTGCCTTCTGAATAAAAGTCCCTCCACACCAAGAGGTGCTGCTCTTGGACAGAGCTTAAGATGTCCATCGACGCAGCGAGCCTGTCCCCTCTTCTGTGAGAGAGGAACACCTCCGTGTGACTTCCCTCACTGTCCCTGCCCTGCAGAGGGCTGATGGTCAGGGGAGGGAGCTCCTCCTTGCCCTTCTTCCCTCCCTTACCTCGTCCCCCCTTCACCACCTCCCCCAACCTCCGAGGTTCTGCTTCTTGCTGTGGGTGGAAGCTGCTGGAGGGGCTGCCTTTTAGGGGCCCCAAAGGCCTTACAGAGGAAGACACAGGCCCCCTGGGGAATTGGGGACACATGCATCCTGTGCTCTCTACTGAGTCCCACAAACATCCCGTGTGATGGTCTCCTTGGGCCGGTGGGGAAGTGAGCCCTCTCCGGGCAATTATAGCCCTCGACTCGGTCTGCCTAAAAAAAAAGAAAAGAAAAAAGACAGAAAAACAGATCTGATTTTGCTAAGAAACACCCCCCCAAAAAACAGAAACCGGGGAAGGGGCAGGTTGAGGAAAGGGCCATGTGCGGCCTCTCGGAGAGGCCGGGAGGCGGGGCCCGTCAGGGCTCTCCTGTCGCCGCCGGTGCTGGCCACGCTCTGGGACTCACATCAGGCCTGGTGCTCGCGGCGATCTTTGCCCCAATATCCCTTCGGTTCTGTCGGCAAATCCAAACCAGACACCGTCCTTAGGAAGCTCAGAGCCATTGTGTGCTCATCTCTCTAGAGACAGGCCTGCGTCGAAGCCCCCTGAGCGCTCAGCTGAGGCGACCGTCCTCACGCTTAAACCGGCGCCGCTCACTTCCCAGACATCCAGAGCCGCGTGAGCCTCGGGCGACACCGCGTGAGCCTCGGGCGACACCGGCCGCGGCGGCGCATCCACAGGCGCGATCTCCCCGCCTGGAGCCCGGCCGCGAGGGCGGAGCGCTCAGCCCGACACCGGCTGCGGTTCG